AGAGCGAGCGACAGCGCAAGAGCGAGCGACAGCGCAAGAGCGAGCGACAGCGCAAGAGCGAGCGACAGCGCAAGAGCGAGCGACAGCGCAAGAGCGAGCGACAGCGCAAGAGCGAGCGACAGCGCAAGAGCGAGCGACAGCGCAAGAGCGAGCGACAGCGCAAGAGCGAGCGACAGCGCAAGAGCGAGCGAATCTCTCACAGGCATCATTAAATAACCCTTCTAATAACTTAAATCTCAGCATTGTGTGTGTCTGGAATGGGAGCATGTAAACTTCCTCAAAGTTTCACAAACCTTCACTTTAAAAGTCTGGACAGCAGCCTCTTTATAGTATTCTGCTCATTCAGACACCCATCAGACAGTGCACTGTTAATCACTCCAAATTATCCACCCATCACACTTTACATGAAAACTCAAACAGTGAATTCTGGCACTGTTCCACTGCAGTTTTATGACACTAATGACAATGTTAAAGTATTATTATTATTGGTAATCAGATCCCTGCTCCCTGAAACTTCTGACACACACCTGTTCCGGGTTTGGTTGGAGGAAGTTGCTGGATGTTGGGGGTCCAACAAACCACACCTCTCTCGGTAATGACTGCAGGACTGGAGTAATCATCGAATAGACAGGTGTAAGACTCATCCTCGGCAAGAACAGGCAAGTCAGCGACATTCACAAATACCTAGGGACAAGGCAGAAAAATACAACTTGAATAAAGGAGAACATCCCACAACGTCATGTCTTGTACGGCAATCATTGTTCAGTTACATGTTGATACTTGCTCGTTGGTAACATATCGAACTGTGAATGCAGTGATTGGAATGAGGTAAGCCAGATGAATCTCACAGAATAGGAGTGTTCCTTGACTGGGGTTGTTAACCTGGTCCAATCTGGGAGCCTGGTTGACAGATATATACAGGAGTGCCATAGGGGGTCTTGTGGTGCACAGATAGAGTCCTTACTGCTGGACCGAGGCGCCCAGGTTCAAGAGCCACCTGCTCCAGAGTAGTGCAATAACAGCTCTGAACAGGTTGATTAGAAAAGTTAGTTAAATTAAATAAAAAATAAACAGGAGTGCCAGAGGTTCTATGCATTCTAGGAGCCAGCTCTGAGGAAGCCAGACCAGTGTCAAGGAATACACAGACGTAAATAAAGGGTGACTTATTGGCACAATACCGGCCACTGTGGGGTTATTTCACTGAGTATGTTATTCAGAGTGCAGGAGTTTTACAATGTGGAAGAATCTGGAAGCTGATCACTGTTTACCGTAAAATTTGTTTCCAAACAGAGACAATTGGAGAACAGGAGGGAAACAGATACATCACATTTTTAAAATTAGTATTTGAGTAATACAATGAGGTGGACATGCAGAACTAAGGTATGACAACAAAGAGGTAGGAGACTACAATTTAAAGGGTAAGCTTACCTGAAGCTTCATTGTGTTAGCAAGAGGCTTGCTAGTGATACAGCATTTGCCCTAACACAGACAAGGCTGAAATAGTTAACAGCAAAGTTGAACAATTCCTTATTCAAGGAGAGTGATACAAGCTTTGGAAAGCAGCCTTAACATGCCCAAAAATCAAGGCAACAGAGCAAGATGATGATAGATGATGTCAGTGGTCTCAGCTTCGTCTGCCCAATGCCATTAAGACTAAAGTAGAGATACTTGGGCCCTTACGAAATTGTAATTTTAGTGAATGAGTAATGGGCCAGATGTTTATTAACCTTGAAGTAACTGAAGATAGTCCATAACTTTGTTAAGATCCCTATTAAAGTGCTTATGCTCTGCGTACCTAGCAACCACATTTTGTTGTTTACCAGGGAAACGGAGTTAAATAGACTGACAATGTTGGGAGCTCGGGCCTCAGTTCAACTGACTATTCTGTTCAAATACAAATCTCTAAACAAGTGGTAGATGTACCACCTATGTCCACAGAAATTACGCTGTCTAAATATTTTCTGGAACAATGACTTTGAGCAGTCTCAGTATACCTAATTCTACTCTTGTTCGCATGCCTGAAATTATTAACCCCGCCACCAAGGAATTTTACCACATGGATGCTCAACAAGATGTGTTATTGATTGCATCCTGACATTCCCATCCACTCACACACTCACCTGTTTTTGCTCTTCTCTGCTGATATTAGCTGGGGTCAGAGTCTGCACTCTCAGACACTGTCGGCCTTCCTCATAGCTCCACAGCCACTGAACACCTTCCTCAGCCCTTTCACACTCTGACCTCCGACAGCACCTATTGGTAGAAAAGAAGGCTGTATCAACACCATGCAGTACATTCATATTGAGCCATCAAGTTGCGCAAGCATCAACAGTGAGAGGAATGCAAAGTCCTGTTGAAATGAACACATTTATCCAAATGTTTGAAGTAATTGGTCAGCTCCAACAAAGTTCAGTGAATTATTGCTGGATCTTTCAGCTTCTTCCCTAGTACTGAAGACTGCACATCGCCAACATATTCAAGAGCTTCAAAAAGTGAATTCCATACTGTTGCAGCTTACTAACCATCCCATTTCAAATAATAATAATCTGGCAGAATTCTGACCTTGCAGCTCGAGGCAGTGATCGAAGTGACCATGACAGGAATGCACTTGGTGGATAATCGAGCAGGGAGTTTTGCACAGGAAGCTAGAGATCACATATTTGACCCACTGGTCACATCCCAGATTTAACTATTTCATGGACTCCATTGAACTCATCCAGAACACTGTCTTTTAAAAATATGTCCTTTCTCCCAGGTTACTTAAAGAATTTACATACTATTGGGCTAATTCTATAAACCTGTCCTTTTCCTACTGGAAGCACTTATAGGAGTGAAGGACTGCAAACAATCGGGGTTTAACCCTGAATTTCCTACATACATCCCTGGTGTCTGAAGCTTCACTGTTGGAATTCATAAAATGCTCTCCTACCTATCACATTTTGCATCATCCTTTCTTCCTTTTGACATGACATTTGTCCAATTGCAAGAACCATCACAGATCATCAATACTTTGTGAAATGTCAGCATTTCAAAGGTCTTTCAATAGTTATCAACTTCTTAAAGTTAAAAGCTAACACAGCTTTGTTTTGCTAAAATTTAATCCCACCTTCATTTATTTCACAGGAGATTAGAAATTATTCTGATCTCTAATCTCACTCAAGTTTCATTCATTTTTTTCTCCGTCCCTGTCCTGTTCCTCCATGTTCATAGTCCAATTTAAATAAACTGTTCACATATTCACCTATTCTTCTCAATACTTAAAAATGTTAGGTCTTATTCTTTTCAATTTTCCAATCAAGATATAAAGATTTCTGCAAGCAGACACGTGTAGGCTGGACCCTTAAATCTGACCATTTAGCGAATCACCAGACCCCTTCAAACAATAAAATGTCATGAATTGCACACAATTCTAAACACGGTCCCATTACTGAAAAATAAATGGCTTAAAAAGCTTTAATTTATAATCATACAATCTCAAATTATATCCCAATGCTTGTAGATTTGTACTAATTGAAAATTTTCAGCGAATGATGAATTATAACATTAAAATGCATTCCTAGTTTTGCTAATATTCCTAATATGTGCCTGTGCATCAGATTTTGCATTTTCCATGACATTTATTTTAATTAAAATCCATCTTCCACTCCCGACCAATGCACTTAGCTCGTGAAATTACAGTGCTTATGGGGTCTCTCAGAATCCTCACGTGGCCACCTGTTTAACAACACCAGTGACTTATAGAAGTTTACAAGAGACATTCCTCTCTATATCATTTTTTGACAAGTGGGAACAGCCCGAAGCAAGCGTTTGAAGACAGAGTGAAAGTTAGACCCAAAACTGCAACGTATCACCGATGGCAAGGTCACAAAATCACATAACAACAGGTTATAGTCCAACAGGTTTATCTGAAGGCACAAGCTTTAGAGATTCCATTCCTTCTTCAGGTGTCAATGGTCAGAAGGAGTGAGCCTCCGAAAGCTTGTGTCTTCAAATAAACCTGTTGGACTATAACCTGGTGTTGTGTGATTTTTGACCTCATCCACCCCAGTCCAACACCAGCACCTCCACATCACCGATAGCAAGGCTAGAACGTTGGGCTTGTGCTGGAATTGCTGATGTGTACTGCAAATCACAGCATGAGAAGCAATGATTTGATTGATTACTGTCATATGAACCGAGGTATAGTGAAAAGTGTTGTCTTACATGTTTTATGGGCAGATCGTACTATACAGGTGCATCAGGGTAACAGAGTGCAGGATACAATGTTACAGCAGCCAAGAAGGTGCAGAGAGAGATCTATATTAACATTTGACAGGTCCATTCAAAAGTCTGATAACAGCAGGGAAGAAGCTGTTCTTGAATCTGTTCGTACGTGTGTACAAACTTTTATAATTTTGCCTGACAGAAGTGGTGTGTGGAAGAGAATATAACCGGGGTGCGAGGGATATTTGATTATGTAAGTTGCTTTCCCGATGCAGCGGCAAGTATAGATGGAGTCAACGGATGACATTGCCAGCTAATGTCCTTGCTAAGTGAAGTCTTGTGCTAAACATTCATCTTACTTATGATTGTGTATTACTGAGATTAGTGGCATGGAGCCTCACCATTTCCAGGAAGGTTCCCTCATTTTGTTGCTGCGTGTGTCTGCCCTTGTGACAGACAAGCACAGGCTTAAAATGAGCACCTCCAAAAATACAGAGCTACCAGCTAAATCCTGGTGTTGTTGGGAGCCCAGAGAACGCCAGTTACAGTTATCACCTTGTACAGAGAGCAGAAGAGTCAATTCTTGTAATACACTAATAAAGTAATTTGTGAGATTAAACAAGATGTGTTGCTTAAAATGTTTTTTATCACAAAACTAGACCTTACATATTGTGCCACAAACCAAACTAGGATCAACTTATACACCCTCTAGGGTCCTCTGACACTCCCCAAGTCGTCAGAATATAAAAGCTAATACTTGATCAGGACAGCTGCTGCTGGTGACGAGGGCTAACGTGCTGACTTTATATCATCACCACATCCTCGACGTAAGGTCTGCTTCTGCTATGGTTGGTCTCTGGAGTTTGATGCCTGCATGCCCCAGGGTCTTCATTTTATTCTCTTTCTCTTTCTCTCTCTCTCTCTCTCTCAAGTCGTGCTGTCTTCTTCCCGTTGGCTCAGGTTAATTCACTTATTGTATGCCTTTACCTTATTGGCCCTGGCACAGAGACTTAGGTAGCATTACCTCATTATTTCTCGCCCAAAATAAGGCTTTTGCATTACCTCATCTTTCTTACTTTTTGCAGAACTTAGCTAATTCAAACCAGTTTAAAATCGGCTCAAACTAGCACCTGGGCACAGGTCATTTTTAGTTCACAAACTGCTTCCTTCTTCCTGTCAGCACCTTTGCATTCAGTACCTCCTGTTAGTTACATTGGCAGCTGGTACCCCCACCGTCTCTCTCTCCATCTTTATGCAGCCTCTGGCTAATGTCTCCCCAGGCAGCGATTTCAGCAGCTCCCACCTTTCTCCCACTGCAGCCTCTCGCTAACATCTCAAACCCACGAATGCACGGTGAAGGTGACAAAATCTGAGGGATGGAATAATCGGACCACAATTTTTGTGACTTACCTGCCCTGAAGTATGCACCAGCCACAGTATGGGTCCCTCGCTACGAGGCAGGACTGGCAGTCAGTGTACTTGGAGCACTCACTCACGGGTAGCTTCAGCACCTTAAATGAGAATTGATAAACAGTGACACAAAACTGTTCTTCACGTGTTATTGTAGAGACATTTTCCTTAATTTAACCTCCGTTTTTGAGGAGGCAAGGAAGTTCAGCGGCTCACACAGACCGCTTCAATCTTCTATGACAGGGTCGCTGGCCGCCCTTCCCCCATCAGCGCCCGACTAACAGTAATTATAGAAGCCCATGTGGAAATGCACTGATGCAAGAGTAGGTCAGAGGGTCGGAACACTGTAGCAAGTAAATCACTGAGTGACTCCCCAGAACCTGTCCATCGTCTACAAGGCACAAGTCAGGAGTGTGATGGAATACTCCCCACTTGCCTGGATGGACACAGCTCCAACAATACTCAAGAAGCTTGATGCCTCTAAGACAAAGCAGCCCGTTCGATCGGCACCATACCCACAAACATCCACTTCCTCCACCACTGACATTCAGTAGCATCAGTGTGTACTATTCACAAGATACACTGCAGAAACTCACCAAGGCTCCTTTTCCATCATCTTCCAAGCCAATGATTAATAGAATCCTTAAGGATAGGGCAGCAGATACATGGGAACACCACAACCCTGCAAGATTCCGTCCAAGCCACTCACCGTTCTGACTTGGAAATACATCACTATTCCCTTGGCATTGCTGAGTCAAAATCTTGCAACTTCCTCCATAATGACATGTGGGTCGACCACAGGAAACAGATTGCAGCAGTTCAAGGAGGCAGCTCATCACCACCTTCTCATGAGCAACAAGGGATACTGGCCCAGTCAGTGATGCCCATGTCCCATGAATGAATTAAGAAAATCTCTAACAACTTGAGCCTCTGGGATTCATATCCAAATCTTCTGCCCCAACATTGCTGAATAACACCTTCTGCTAACCAATGAATCGCTCTCTCAGTCCTGACACTGACACTGCAATCAGGATCTGGTTCCCTTCCTCCAACTGCAGCTGCACACACTAAGTCACGTTGAGGAAATGACTTAAAATATGAAATTAAATTCAAGACTCATCAAAAGGACGCCAAAGGCAAGTATTAATTTATTTGACAGAAAGCTTTGACCCATGCTGAGCTACCAGCATTGAAACCTCACCAGAGTAGAGCACTGAACCCTTTGTCTCCTCGAACAGAAGCTTGCCTGCTGCAACTCGTGATCTTCCATCGTTTTTCAGAAGCCAAAAATTGTTTCTGCATTTCTGTACAGGTTTATTATCGGAGAATCCCAACAGTGTGGAAGCAGGTCATTCAGCCTATTGAGTCCACACTGACTGCCCAAAGAGCATCCCACCCAGAATCACCCCCCTACCTTATCCTTGTAACTCCATTTCCTATGGCTAGCCCACCTAGCTTGCACATCCCTGGACACTGTGGTGAATTTAGCATGGCCAATCCACTTAATCCGCACACCTTTGGATTGTGAGGAAACCCGTGTACGTAGAGAAAACCCACGCAGAAATAGGGAGAACATACAAACTCCACACAGACAGTTGCCTGAGGCTGAAATCAAACCCGGGTCTCTGGAACCAAAAGGCAGCAGTGCTAGGCACTGAGCCACCGTGCCACCCTGATGTTCAATATCGTATGTAAACTTGGGAATATTTTAAGTACAGGCATCGTTCCACTTTTATTCTGCTTCATCTGATTGGGAGTACCATCAATGTAATTCCCTGCTCATCTCCTACCCTCTATCAATTCATTTCCTGTCTGTTTGAACTATGTTATGAACGGTCTAAATCTGGAATGCTCCTCAAATCATTGTCTATCTCCTCATTTTTATCATACAGTAGATGCTTGAAACATTTTAGCTCATTTTCCCAGGTTATGAGTAAAACACTACATTTTACACATCCATTCCCAATCTGCTGACCCAGCCAGCACCAGTGGTTCCACTGGATGGAGGATTAGGAGCCCTTGCCCTTGGTCTTAAACTGCTTGAAACATGCACTTGGCTTCACTTCAGAAGATGTACCTTTAACTGAGTTGTGACGTAAAGGTGCTTCTGCTCACGGTCAAACACCAGGTCGCTGTTGACTGCTGCGTTGGGCTCGATTACAAGTGTCGCGTATTGCTCTGCCTCTCCAGATGGCTTCACAAAAACCTAAGCCAGTGGAAGAAAACAAGTTGTTTCGTTCATGAAGCTGGATGTCAACACAACAGACAAGAAAACCCTTCCATTTTCACAAACAACAGGCTTCAGCAGTTAGATGTTATCCATGAACTAACTAGCACACCGCACTCCGGTTAGGAGCTGTTAAGTTGCCCCTTGTTTCTGGAGATTTTTTTTTTTTTTTTAAAAATAAACAGTCCAGGAAAGCTGAAATAATGAATGGGAATTGAACCCTCTTCTCTCAAAAGAGAAAATTAATGCAAATGCATGATGAGTATTTTGTTTCCATTTTTAAGTTTATTCTTTCCACTTCCTCTGGAGTACTGGGCTAGCATCATAGTCCCGAAGCAGGAAAACTTCTTCAGTGTATGGGGCCAAAAGGGTCTTCACACAAGCTTAAATCATTCATCACTGGACATGTACATACACAGTTTCTCCAGCAGCTGTTAAGACGCAAGGATCGAGGTTGATTTTACCCTTTTTTAAAAGCGTTTGTTCATCAAAAATGAGCATTGCTGGTGAGGTCACCATTTGTGGCCCATCTCTAATTGCCCCACAACAATGTGGTGATAGCCTGTAGTGTGTTGGATGCAGGCACAATGCTGCTCGATGGGGAGGACTGGAATTTTGATCCAGGGCTGGCAAAGGAATGGCCATATATTTTCCACTTCAAGGTAGTGAGAGATCAGGAGGGGGTCTGGCAGGTTGTGGAATCCCGAGTTGCAGTGCAGGATGTGCTAAAACCACACACTGTGCTCCTGATATCAAGACACAGATTAGTCTAACTCAATACACACAGACATTGAACGGCAACTTTCTGGTTTGTGTGATTTAATTATGATCTACCTTCAGCCCCCAAACTATTCACTGAAGATTTTCTTAGACTGCGTTATCTTATAATTGGAGGCATAAAATGGATTGTAAGCCATTTAAATCCACACCATTTTCCTCGTCAATCCTCCTTCTGAAGCATGTCCTCACATAGGTTAACGTTGATAGATTCTTCTTCAGCAGATACAGCTGAGAAAGACAGACCAATTCCATCTCAAACACACAGCTGGTTTGAGTTACAGGGACGGGCCTCATAGTTCAAATGAGCCTGACTCGTCCAGACCCGACAACAGGGCAAACAAAGTCACATGTTGCTTCAGGTGAGTTATCTTCAACAGTGAATCTTGGGCACTGACAGAGCTGTGATAATCTGCAAAGTGTTTAATCTGTCCAAGACAATTGGTCATCTGCAATCCCCTGTAGGCACAAAGGCCATTTGGCCCATTGAGTCCATACTTCCTATGGCTAAACCACATAACTTGCACATCGCTGGACATTCCAGGCAATTTAGCATGGCCGATCCACCTAACCTACACATCTTTGAACTGTGGGAGAAAACTGGAGCACCCACACAGACAGTCGCCTGAGGCTGGAATTGAACCCCGATCCCTGGCGCTGTGAGGCAGCAGTGCAACCGCTGAGCTACCCTCCCTGTGGGCCAGCAGTAAGGTCACAGAGCAACCCGTATGGAGTGATTCCTGCAACTTTTCCAGATGCAATCTGCCAAATAATTCTGCTAACCAAACACTGGGAAAGAGGCTCCCAGAAAATCAATAAAAACATTCCAGAAACATGTGACACTCCCAGCTTACACCTTCCCTACAACCCCTACGTTAAGCAGGATTTCATAATGCCTTAAAGAAAAAACCTGAAAGAACTGTGGATGCTGGTATTCAGAAACAAATACAGAAATTGCTAAAAAAACAACTCAGCAGGTCTGCTAGCATCTGTAAAGAGAGATCAGAGTTAACATTTCGGCTCCAGTTCTGTGGAAGGGTCACTGGATCCAAAACGCTAACACACATCTCTCTCCAAAGATGCTGTCAGACCTGCTGAGCTTTTCCAGCAATTTCTGTTTTTGTTTTATGATGTCTACACTGTTCTAAGCATTTTTTCCTATTGTGTCTATTGTAAAATAAACCACTCAAACGTCATCAGCTTTGGCTGGTAACAAAGACTTACATTGCACAGGTCACAGAGCTGGTCCTGCTTTGCCAATGCTGTCATTAACTGTGACTCATTCAGAATTATCTAAAATGCATCACTGTGAATTTAACAAAACAACACCTGGCATTTATATGGCATTAAGATAGAGGATCAGCCATGATCATATTGAATGGTACAGTAGGATAAAAGGGCCAAATGGCCTGCTCCCACTCCTAGTTTCTATGCTTATATGGCAACTTCAGTGCAATCACAAGGCACTTCAAATCACCATGACCAGATAAAATTTGATCACAAATCACACCTAGCAATATTAGAGCACAATGCATTTCTTCTTCGCTTGCTTTTTGTTCTTTTGCCTTTCACCTTAAGGTTTCTGACCTTGCTCTCAGCAAGAACAGTTTCTCCCCACCTATCTCCAGGCACTGCTTGATTTTGAAATTCTTCATCAAATCTCCTCACAATCTTCTATTCCTCAAGTAGAAAATATCCAGTTCTCAAATCCATCAACACAACTGAAAGTCCCTCAGCCAGCAAAACATCCTTGTCGAACTTTTCCTCACCTTCTCCAACGCCTTCATTTCCTTCCTTATGTGTGGTGTCCAGAATGGGACACAATACTCCAGTTGAAGCCAAGCCAATTTTTATTATAGGTTCACCAGAACTCGCTTACATTTGTATTCCACGCCTTGATTTCAAATCTCAGGATCTGGTGTGCGATATTAACCACTTTCTCAATCCGCTCAGCCACCTTTAACCATTTGTGCACGCACACTTCCTGGTGCCTCTGATCATGCACCACTTACACAATCATGTCTTTTATTTTAAATTGCCTCTCCTGGTTCCCACTACTAGAAAGAATCACTTTCACACCCATCTGCATTCATTTCCCACCTAAGTCATTTTGAAATTTATTTCAAATGAATGGGCACTTGAACAATAAACTGGTGGGACTGCCCTTAGCCACATAACCCTGGATGCCTCTACTGATCAAGATTCTATCCATCTCAGCCTTAAAATACATCAGAACTCTACCCCCACAGCTCTCTATGGTAAAGAGTTCCTGCGTGCTAACTTTCTGTGTTTCATGTACAAGTACCTGAAGGTCCCTTTGTGTTGCAGCTTCTGCAGTTTTTCTCCATTTAAATAATACTGTTGTTTTTTTCTACCTTCCAAAGTGAAGAACTTCACATTTTCCCACATTGTACTCCATTTGCCAAATTTTTGTCCACTTATTTAATCAATCGATGTCTCTCTGGACCGGTCTGCGATCCTCTCACAATCTGCCCTTCCACCGACTTTTGTAGTGTCTGCAAACTTGGCTATAGTACATTTGCTTCCTTCCAAGTCATCAATATATATTATAAACAGTTGTAGGTCCAGCCATGATCCCTGTAGAACTCCACTAGTCGCAGGTCACCAACCTGAAAAAGAACCCATTATCCCCGCTCACTGTTTTCTGTCCATTAGCCAGTCCTCTATCCATGTCAATAAACTACCTCCAACACTATGGGCTCTTACCTTATGACTTAACCTTTTGAGAGGTACTATGTCAAATGCCTTCTGGAAGTCCAAATACAACACATCTACTAGCTCCCCTCTATCCACTCTGATTGAGACTTCTTCAAAAAACATTGTTGTTCCTTTGATTTAAGTTAAACACAGCTGTTTCTGTCCCAAGTTTCTCACTCTCAGAATTTAATATTAAATTCTATCACATTATGATCACTTCTTCTTTGGGAGGGTTTGGGGGGTTGGGGGGAAAATCTTTTATTCACAGGTCATGTATTAAACCTGCCTCATTACACATTATCAGAACCAAGATATCCTGCTTCCTGGTTGGGTCCATGACATAAAAACTGACAGAACTGCGGATGATGTAAATCAGGAACAAAAACAGAAGTTGTTGAAAAAGCCCAGCAGCTCTGGCAGCATCTGTGAAGAAAAAATAAGAGTTAACGTTTTGGGTCCGATGACCCTTCCCGCAGAACAGTGTCACTGGACCCGAAAATGTTAACTCTTATTTTTTTCTTCACAGATGCTGCCAGACCTGCTGAGCTTTCCCAGCAACTTCTGTTTTTGGGTCCATGACATTTTGCTCGAGGAAACTATCCCTAATGTACTCCATATTAGAATTGGGATGCACTGGCTTTTCTCAATGAAGAAGTCAAATCCGTTCAAGTGATGGTTCATTTTGTCCCAGATCATTATTTCTGAAAGCTTCTGCACAAACAAGTTAAACTGACTGGAATGTACTTTCCAAGGTCTTTTTGGAACAAGGTATAACATCTGCAATTCTCCTGTCCTGTAGCGTCACTGTATCGGAGCAGATTTGGAAGGTTGTTGCTAGTGCTTCCATAATTTCAACCCTTATTTATTGGAGTTGAATTGAGCTACAAGAGCCACTTCTCAAGGATAAAATTGATACGCTCAATACTAGGCAGTGAGGCAGCTTTAATGCTTTGTGACCTGAAGCAGGAGTAAAATTCCAGTCAGGGTTCAGTGAGCCCTGCAAAGGCAAAGCAGGACAGGACCTCCATAGTTAAACAGCCCACTGACAACTGAGGAATAATTTTAAATTAGCATTCCTCGCCAGCCACAGAGTAATGGGCAGAATCGAGGGTAAATTCAGAGCAGGACAGAGCGACAGCGCTTCGACAGAAATTAGACAGCACTGAAGATGCCACCGAGAGGGAGACGAAACGTTTGCACGAAAACCAGTCAGTTCGGCGAACCAGCCAACAACTCCAGAATTGAGGGTCGTGTGAAAACACATTTTCTCCTAGAACAGTGAATAAACGTCAAAGTATTTCTGATCAGCTGTGGAGGAATTTGGGATGATGCTGCAGACATGAAAAGTGCTATATTAAAAAAGGCAACTCCCTTGTTTTACACAAGGAGATAGCCCTCTCAGCTGACAGCTGCACCCCAATTCTAAAAGCTGTAGATATTATTCAGAGCTAACACAAACCAAATGTTTAAATCTTTCTTGCCTGCCTGCAGATGGATTCACCTGATCTGAGACAACATTCCTGCTCTTACCTTATGGAGATGGCCCTTGGCATCTCCGACGAAGGCGATGGTATGCTCCATTTCCACAGTCACTGCCACCGCTACCAGGTGCCCCTGCGCAACCTTTAGTACCAGAGCTGCCTCTATCGGAATACAGCTGGCCATTGGGCTGGGCGTGTGGTCATAACCACATGGGTATGCATTAAGAGTGTCCTACGGCAAGACCGGGCAAAGAGGAACAAAAACAGATCAGATTACTTAAAGGCTGAACCAATTACTAAAATGACGAGTCAAAAAGTTAAATGCGGTCTGCTTTACAGTGGCTTTTAAGAGCTGACTTGTAAAGAAATGGATTTTCATTCTGTACCCATTCCATTGGCTTCCTGCAATGAGTTACAGATGCACGATGCTGTCCATACTTTTATTGCACAATTTCCAGCGTGTCAGGTTCACCTCAATTGAGTAAACGATTTTTGATCACTATAGGTGCCAATTAGAGCAGTGCTATTGAGCATATGTTAAAGTGTGCCAATTACTTTGCGCATTTCTGCGCTTACCAATTTAAAAGACTTGCTGATTTCAGGCCAAATCCAGTCTTCATGGAGACATACTCAGCTGTTGGCAATGCTAACAATTACAGGAGGCTGTCAGAACATGGAAACTTCGGGTTGCTTTAATTACATGGTTTTGCTATCTTGCCTGAGCGGGGGCCGAACTGCTTCAGCACAAACACTGTACTTATAAATAAATAAACAGGCATCAGTTTAAGCAAACATTCAACCATTCACCATTTTTAAAATTCCTAACAAAGCCTCTCCTCTCCTTTTAGCTAAAAAAAAATCAGTCCTTTTTCCATCTGTTCCTTTGATCTAATTCCAAGTGCTTCAGTCCATTCCTTTTCTCTTTATACATTTGGGAAATATTTACTTACGCTGGCTTTAATGGCTTGGTTAATGCTGCAACGAAGCATTCCTCACTCATTGTTGACTTGTGTGCCAAGAAAATGATCCCAGGTGAGAGACAGGTCACCAAAAGGCACTCAAGCTGCCGACTCCCTGCTTCTACAGCAGACCGTAGAACAGGAACTAAACGCTGCCACTAACCAGGTAATTTGATAAATCTCCGTCCCCTGTTGTGCATGACAAGACAAAGCAAATAGACTCCCCCTGCTCCATTAACTAATTCATTGGAGAATCTGGTCAGCAATTCAGACAAGCGTCCAGAAGCCAAAAATATGCCAAGAGATCTGGATGAGATAAAAACGAGGGAAGGTGAAGCAGCAAAATCATATGGAACGGCTCATTTGCCCTACTGCTAAAGAAAATTGATTCACCTTATAGGGGGCGTCTATATCTGAACTGCCCCTATCAAGCTGGGCTAATGTCTAACACACACACACACACACACACACACACACACACACACACACAGAGCTGAACCATCACCAGCCCCAAAGGACTAACTCCTGAAGCCCTGTCTTGCTTTCTATTACTCTAGCAATCCGAACTTGGCAACACAGCAGCCATCATTGTTGCTCGGCCTACTCATTACCACAAGTTCACATAGTGCTGGTTTATAATCCAATTTGTTAGGTCCAATGACGATGAATGCAACTGACAAAACCACTGTTGCAGGCTTCATTTAACCTCCTAGTCTCTTTCAAATTGGGCTCATATCCGCTTATAGGTCAGTCAACTTCCATGTATTGGACTGAGAGACCTGGGTTCAAGTCCCACCTGCTCCAGAGGTGCATAAGAACATCTCCGAACGGGTTGATTAGAAAAAAAAATTATACTCACATTCAATACACCAAATTGATGCCAACCCAGCAATATGATTGTACACACAAATAATCATTCAATTTGTATCTGGTCTTCACCAGCCCTCCTGTAGTGAGCAATTGGTCATTACAGTGATGTAATGATCTATAATTCATCTGTCATCTTCCAGCTCAGAGAACCAGCCACAAACTGTACGGTACCATTCTAGGAGCTGATGGGCACCTGACATTGGATTAAGAAAGAAATGTCCTTGAAACTATGGAATGGAAGTTTCTCAAAAGCTGCTGCACCCCAGGAACCTCGGGGTGTACAAACTTTGGGAAACACACTCACTTGCTGACATTGCATTTACTGGTTTAAAGACTCCATGGGCTTGAGCATTGATGGTGCAGAGACTTCCTGGGAGGGAGAATGAAACTACCTTGAGAAGTGACGTAACACTTCCACCTCAGTGCCAGGGCTTGGCTAACGTGGGAGTAGACTGGGAAAGGGGGGGGTGGCAGGGGTGGTCATTGGGGGTTAGTGGGAGTGGAGAACAGTTATCATGCTGGCCGCTCCCCATTCCCTACTCCCCATGACCATACACTCTAGGGCAAGGCAAGAATGGAAATGCTACTTTATACGTTGCACAAGAAGAATGAATTTGATCATCAGTTAACATTTAAGCAAGTTTTGAACCAACAATTTCAGATTTGTACAACTTTAATGCTTTCTTTGGTCTTAACTTTTGTTCAGTGACAGGAATGAACAGCAATCAGTACACTTCAGAAGTTCTTCCTGGCTGTTTGAAGACTTGGGGGTGAAGAACTCTACACAAATACACATTTTTTAGTTTTTCCAATGAGCTCCATTTTGGTCTCGTGGCCAGGGTGGCTAACCAATGCGGACAGCGTCGGTGACAATAATTGACAGATAAATCCGGTGTTTTGCTGATCCAATTTAGTGGAGGTGACAATCTCAAGGCCACAGGCTATTCAAAACACCAGGGAATGGGATAGGCTCCCTTAACCTTACAGAGGATTGAGGAGAAAAACAAAAAAAACTTTGGTAAACATAGAAAATATGCCTGGTTATTCAGGTTGAGAGTAAAGACGGTAAGAGAAATTTCAGATGGCAGAGGTGATCACCTTGTACATGAGGACTGAATGCCGTGGAGGGGAATTTGCAGACATTGGTGTTCCCATGTATCTGTTGCCCTTGTCCTTCGACAGTAGTGGTCGTGGGTTTGGAAACACTGCCTTTAAATGAATTTTTGCAGTGTAGATGGTATACACTGCTATTACTAAGCATCGGTGAATGGAGGGGATATTTGTTGATCTGGTGTGAAACAAGCAGGCAGCTGGACACTTGTTAGCCCTGATATTGTACAGGTCTTGTTACATTCGTAGGGGACGGCTTTAGTATCTGAGGAGTTACAAATGGTGCAATCAGCAGTGAACATCCTTTCTTCTCACCTTAAGGTAGAAGGAAGGTCATTAAAGAAACAATTGAACGTGAAGAACCAAAGCAGCAAGAAATATTCACCCTTCACACACCACACAGTTAGCGTCTACAACGCAAGAGGAACTAACCATGGTCTCTGGACATTCAATAACATTCCTATCGCTGAATCTCCCGCTATCAACATTCTGGGTGTTATCATTGACTAGAAATGAAAATATACAGACTAAAACAGCAGGTCAGAGACTAGAAATCCTGCAATGAGTAACTCACATCTTGTCTCCCTAAAGCCTGCCCACTATCTACAAGGCACAAGTCAGGAGTTCATTGGACTACTCCCTCCACTTATTTGGATGAGTACAGCATGATTGGCACCACATCCACAAACATCCATTCCCTTCACCAATGCTCACTAGCAGTAGTGATTCCAGTTTTGCTAGGGCTCCTTGATGCCACATTCCGTCAGATGCAGCCTGGTGTAAAAGGCTGCCACTCCCACCTCACCTCTGGAATTCAGCTTTTTGTCCATTTGAACCAAGGCTGTAATGAAGTCACGAGCTGAGTGGCCAGGGCAGACCTAAGCTCAGCAGGTTATTGCTCAGCTAGTTCTGTTTGATAGCACTGTAGATGACCCTTCACATCACTTTACTGATGCTCGAAGTACACTAATAGGGCAGTAATTGGCCAGGTTGCATTTGACCTGCTTTCTTGTGTACAAAACATGCCTGGGTATTCAGAGATAGTAAGAACTGCAGATGCTGGAGTCAGAGATAATGCAGTGTGGCGCTGGAGGAACACAGCAGGCCTGGCAGCAGAGGAGCAGGAAAGTTGACGTTTCAGGTCGGGACCCTTCTTCAGAAATGGAGAGGGGGAGAAGGGAGCTCAGAAAGAGAGAGAGGAGGGGTGGGGCTGGGGAAGGTAGGTGGGATGGTGATAGGTGAGTGCAGGTAGACAGTGGTGGGGATTGGTCAGTGAGGTGGGTGGGTCAGATAGGTGGGAGAGAAGATGGATAGGTCGTGTCAGGTCAAGGAGGCGGGGATGAGAGGGAGGGTTGGACATGGGATGAAGCCAGGGGTGGGGAGATTTTGGAACTGGCAAAGTCCACATTGGGCTGTAGGCTTATTTATGCCTGGGTATTTTTCGAAGTGGATGCAGTCTAATAGCTATATAAAAAACAACACGATACAATACCCTTTGTCCCATAGGGGAATGAGCACAGGCCGAGTCCCACAGCAGAACCAGCACGGACAGAGTGGCCTTGTGCTCTGGGACCTGCAAGCACACCCCGTGAGCCCCAGAACACCGCGAGCAGTACGTGGGCTGCAAGCCCGGAGCAGCGTAGGGAAGAAACCCTACAGCAGCACACAGGCAGCAAGTCCTGGACAGAGACCGGTGTGAGGGGGCAATTCTGCAACTTACCCTTAGAGCAGCTGAATGCCAGTATGGAGCAGAAAGGGGCTTAGAGCGGAATGGGGATGGCTGTTAGACTGGTGTCCGCCATGTGCATTCAGACCACGTGTGGAGGCGCTGCACGGAGTCAACTTTGAATTTCCTTCCTTATTGTAATGATAAACCTTTAATATCTTCCGATTTTTAAACTTATTTTTCCCCACACTAAATAATGCAACTACTTTTATTCCGAAGTTGTATCCAAGAATTGTACCCAAGTACTTGTACCCAAGATGTTGCCATAAGAAGGCAGGTATTGTAAAAGTTAAAAACCAAAAGAACTGCGGATGCTGTAAATCAGGAACAAAAACAAAGTTGCTGGAAAAGCTCAGCAGGTCTGGCAGCATCTGTGGAGGAGAAAACAGAGTTAACGTTTCAGGTCCGGTGACCCTTCCTCATTGCAAAAGTTTTTCACTGCACTCCTATAATGACGATAAAAGGATACTGTACTGTATTGTTTATTATTGGTGTTCACTGTGCTAGATTAGTTAAGCCTGGGTGCAAACAAGTTAACAAGGAAAAGAACCAGAGTCTACACCTAGGAGCATGGAAAAGAATAAAAACCACTACACACACACAGAAACCTCTACCATCTCTGCATAGATTGGAAATATAACAAGTGTAAGATTTTTTAGCAACAGAACTGCAGCATGTCTCTGTAGAAATGCCATTGTACATCCCATTCAACCTAAAGCAATCTCTGTGTTTGGAACATTTTACGTTTTTACCCATTTTTCTCTTCAAACAACTAACTGGGAACTGCTGCAGCCAGTAAGTTTAAACTTTCATTCCAAAAGCTACATTTAAAATCATTTAAAATTCCATCCTGAAAATTTCATGCACCTTTGTTGTTCACTCAAAGTATCAAGCATATTAAATGATATACAGCTGCATAGCAGGCACATTTAAAAATGTCTTTTAAAATTTGCACGATTTAGAGTCTCACTACAAAACAGATGGATTTTATGGAACTACTGCATCAAAAACGGAGCGCCATTTCAGTGACTGTAAATGTGACGCTCTCAAACTTCCCAGACCAAGTTGTCGAAGCAACCCCGGGGATGGATATTTCCTCTTTTAAAACCTCTTTTACACATTTTTAACCTCCTTAAAGTGACAGGTCAAGCTACAAATTGGTGGATTTGCTGGCCTGGGCGGAACAGCAACTCCTTCCTTCAAGCAGGTGCGATCACTACAGAACTTCCTTTATTGATACTGTGAAACATTAACGTTTAGAATTATGAAAGGACTCACTGAAGTTAATCCGCTGCAGCTGGATTTGACTTCATACTCAATGTAGGCTGCCTCACTCTTGTCCTCCATCTTCCCAAAATTGGTGTAACACAGATCCCTGGTCTGGTTGATCATCCGATCAATCTGGCTCATCGTGTAAATGCAGAGCGCTGATTCTTCCGTTGCCTTCGCCGTGGCCGTGTGACCAACAGCGAACGTGGCGAACAGGACCTCCCCATTAGTTTTGAGAACCCCTTCGGCCAGGCCCTTCCCTGGCCAGCTGACATAGGCCGCTTGGAGTAAATTGTAGCTCTTCCCAGCAGTCTGACAGACAAGAGGCACCTCCACGTACGAGTAATAGTGCATGTCTCCCAAGCAGATCCGCGACACGTAGGTTTTGTATTCCCTGGACGGGGACTTCAGGTCCCTCCGGTAGAACAGGAAATACACGGATAACTGATAAATAAAAGATTTGACAAAGTGGTGGTTGTACTCGGAAAGCCTTCCGGCCACTGCTAATTTAGCTGTGTCCTCGTAGGAGAAAATAGGGTGGGATTCCAGACTCTGTGGATTTTGTAATTCCAAATTGCGGGTGGTGATCGGCGGGATCCCACCAGCACCTTTGCTGGTATAACCACGGCCCACGAACAGGACGGCCAGCTTGCCTTTGGAGAGGCCAACCAAGCCGACCGTTGTGACATTGGGGTCATTGGCGGCGACGTACTGCGTATCGACCGGGCGCTCTGGACGGAACGAAACCCGGCTGATGTTTCCCAAACTCCTTTTCTCACAGATCCCTTGAAACAAGCTGCCGCAGGTGATCAGCTCGTTGCCGTAGGGGTTGGTCAGCAGGAGCTTGTTGTGGTTATCGGTCATCCTCGCGTGCGGGCAGTCACTGGGGTTGACTGGCGGCAGGCAATCCTTGCTGTCACTCTGCGGCCCCGTGGGCTGCACAACCAGGTCAGACAGCTCGGGGGTCAGCTGGAACAGGTAGTTCACGGCTCCGACGTACACGTTTCCCGTCGCTGGGTCAACAGTCAGGTGCTCGAACTTCACGCCCGGCCTGCTGAAGGATTTGTACTGGTCCCCATGGCAGATGCTTAGAAAAACGATGGCAAGGAAGACGTTCCCAGACCGCATGATCAACGTGCTGTAACAGCAAGGGGGAAAAAAAAACAAACACAAACAATGCATTATTAACAAGAAAAAGTGGATATCTGGAACTTTCTTTCCCTCCATAATGACAAAGATCTTCAGGCTGGGGGCTCGATTGGAAAATTTCTAAACCGAGATTGACGACATTCTTGACAGGCAAAGGAAAAATTCCAAGGCAAGGGATCAAGATGGACTTGAGGGCCAAAATATAGATCAGCCACGATCTAGTTCGATGGTAAAACAGACTGAGAAAGGCAGGGTGACATTCTGTGGCTAAATAACAATAGGCAAATTATTTCAGAGATGGCAAATGTAATGACTCCATCTTTTCATTCAGAAAATAAAACACAATCAATCACTTTCACTATCACAGGATCCACCCACAGCTCCAACTCCAACCTCCAACCTCCATGGCAGAGCCATTCACTCCTCTCTGGAACCTATTCCCCAATCTCCACCATGCCCCTACCTACAAAACACTTTGATACCTTCCCTTTCTCCAAGAGTGCTGCTGAGTTTCCCTTCCCAAACTTCCCACTTTCATGCTGAATGCCCTTCTTCCCTTACTTATCTTTCCATTGTGCAGAAATTTGCAAGTGTCCTTTTTGACTTAAAACACTTTTAAAAAAAATACAAGCTGTTGTTATCAAAGCAATGCTCTGGATTTAGCTTTGATGCTATTCCCCGAGGGCCCACAATGTTCCCAAGCGAGATAAAGAAAGTTACCCGAAAAAACAAGGTTACCTCTATTCAGACCTAAAAATGTAACTTTACCCTGTATTGGGCACACCCTCTGCCAAATACAGGCCTTTTATGATTGACTAATCCTAGCTGAAATTTGCAATTTTCCTGCCTTCAGCTACAGTTGTACACTCAAAATGAAGAGGAGACTCACCCTGACTCTTGTAATAAAAAGGTTGCCAAGCCTCCAGCATTTTCTTAAAATCTCCAGGAATTAAAAATTCATCTCCTGAACAACGCGATGAGCAACACAGAAGAAAGCAGCAAGAGTCAGTTATTACACCAGCACATGCCTGAAACTTTTCAGTAGGATTCTGCCCTGGAACTTGCTAGGGATGGTTATTCATAAACAATACCTTCTACTTGGAAACGGTGACTAATGCAAATACATTCAAATAAAAAGCATAAGCATTTGCAAGTTCATTTTCAGTGCCAGAGAGGTTATTCAGTAATAGACTTATTACATCAGTTTGAAAAAAAATCTGTTACTGTGGAATGGGCAAGTCCTGAGCTTCTCTGGCAAGTTTATGAGGTATTCTGTAAACACTGCAACTACACACTATTCAATATCATTGCATGCTGAGACCCCGAGCATGATCCTATCTTGTGCAGCCTCTGAAGGAGTAGGACAACACATTTACTGTCTTCTTGGCTCCTGCTATTAGCTGGGCTTATGTGGTTGCCCGAAGTTGTTGACACAATCTACAATAACAGAGAATGTTGATAGTTTCTTCATACTGACTGTAAAATATGACCCATTATCAATTTTTAAAAATTGCATGTTTAATTTCCTTGATCCCTTATGTTTATTACTTGCAAAAATATTAGGGAAAGGGGGTTGGGAGTAGCAGGTTCCTGAAAACATTCAGGAACACACCTAACCTGATAAAAATCTGAAAGAACTGCGGTTGCTGTAAATCAGAAACGAAAATAGAGATTGCTGGAAAAGCTCAGCAGGACTGGCAGCATCTGTGGAGAGAAATCAGAGTTAACGTTTCGGGTCCGGTGGCCCTTCCTCAGAACTGGACCCGAAAGGTTAACTGATTTCTCTTCACAGATGCTGCCAGTCCTGCTGAGCTTTTCCAGCAATTTCTACTTTTGTTATACACCTAACCAGAGTCAGCTACTCTAAAATAACAGGCGTTCCACTTGCTCCATGCCCTGCTGTCAGATTTCATAAAATTACAGAATCCAGTGTGAAAGCAGGTCATTTGGCCCATCAAGTATACACTGACTCTCTGAAGAGCATCCCACGCAGACCCACCACTCATTCCTGTGAGCTCTCATTTCCCTGTACATCTCTCCTGCACATCCTTGAACACTATCGGGTAATTAAGCAAGACCAATCCACCTAACTGCACATCTTTGGACTGCAGGAGCAAACTGGAGCACCCAGAGGAAACTTACGCAGACACGGGGAGAATGAGGATGGAATTGAACCTGGGTCGCTGGCACTGTGGGCAGCAATGCTAAACGACTGAGCCACCGTGCCACTTGTAACTGTTCTTAAATAGAGCACTAAACGAGAAAATAAACAGTAAAAGGCAGATTTGTGACATCAGACTTGTTCCCCTAAACCAGCAGCAACTGCAATTGGCCGCCAGTTCCATTAGACATCAAGAGGTCCATACTAACGAACAGCAGTCAACAGGGGGAAGACCCATCTGTCTCACCTGTCCCACGCCTACAAGATTAAAGTGTGCGCATTTAAATCAGGCGTCTCAGATTTAAATAGGGCTTTTCACAACCTCCACACCTCCAACAGCATTTCACTGACTCAGCATTGCTGTGATGCAGAAAAAGGTGACAGCCAAATGGAATATCACAAGCAAACAAAAACCGAAAGAACTGCGGATGCTGTAAATCAGGAACAAAAACAAAGTTGCTGGAAAAGCTCAGCAGGTCTGGCAGCATCTGCGAAGGAGAAAACAGAGTTAACATTTCGGGTCCGGTGACCCTTCCTCAGAATGGATGGTGGCTGGGAAAGTGTCAGTTTATATGCAGAAAATAGGGAGGTGGGTGGGGTAGGGAGTAAACGATTGGATAGAGCCCAGAGAGAGAGAAAGACAGTTGGACAGACAAAGGAGTTGCTAACGATCAGGCTGGGAGGGTGAGTAGTTGTTAATGGGGACTGTTAGTGACTAACAACAGGGGGTGTGTAATGGCAGGCTATGTGGTAACAAGGCCTGGTGTGTGGGGTGGGGGGCTGGGACATGGGAGAGTTCAGGCCCTAAAATTATTGAACTCAATATAGAGTCCAGAGGGCTGTAGGGTCCCCAAGTGGAAAATGAGGTGCTATTCCTCCAGCTTGCGTTGGGCTTCACTGGAACACTGCAGCAAGCCAGAGACAGAGATAACAAGGTGTAGAAGCTGGATGAACACAGCAGGCTAAGCAGCATCAGAGGAGCAGGAAGGCTGACGTTTCGGGCCAGGACCCTTCTTCAGAAATGTGTTCATCCAGCTCTACACCTTGTTATCTCAGATTCTCCAGCATCTGCAGTCCCTACTATCTCAGAGATAGAGATGTCGGCCAGGGAGCAGGGTGGTGCGTTGAAGTGGCAGGCAACAGGTAGTTCAGGGTCTGTTTTGCGAGCAGAACGTAGATGTTCTACGAAGCGGTCGCCAAGTCTACACTTCGTTTCCCCAATGTACAGGAGACCACATTGCGAGCAGCGAATGCAATGGACTAGATTCTGGGAAGTGCAGATGGTGTTGCTTCACCTGGAAGATGTTTGGGCCTTTGGATACTGGGGAGGGAGGAGGTAAACGGGCAGGTGCTGCACCTTTGCCGGTTACAGGGGAAGGTGCCGTGGGGCTGTGGGGGTGTTGGGGATGAAGGATGCGTGGACCAGGGTGTCCCGGAGGGAACTGTCCCTGCAGAAGGTGGACAAAGGAGGGGAGGGGAATGTGTGTCTGGTGGTGGCATCTCGCTGGAGGTGGCAGAAATGGTGTCTGATGATCTTCTGGATGTGGATGCTGGTGGGATGGTAGGTGAGGATAAGGGGAACCCGATCGCTGTTGCGGGAGGGAAGAGAAGGGGTGAGGGCGGAAGTGCGGGAGATGGGTCGGACCTGGTTGAGGGCTCTGTCGACAACGGAATATCACAACCGTCAGAGCATCAGAAAGGTCTCACAAAACAGCAAGTGATCACAGCCAGGTAATCTGTGTCAGTGCTGTTGGTTAAGGAAAACAAAATGGCCAAGATTGCATAACTTTTCCACATTAAACTGCCATTGGATCCTTTACGTTATTCTGCACCTAAAAACGATTTGCACATCAATGGTTTGCAAGTCAAATCAAGAGATGGCCACAGGTGAGCAAAAGCAAACTCAAACTTTCCTCCTTTTTAGAAATGGACTCCTCTGTGGGATGTGGGTACTGCTGTAGTGAGGTCAGCACTTGTTGTTCATACCTAATTAGGGAGGGAGTGATGAGCTGCCTCCTTGAACTACTGCAGTCCATGTGATGTGAGGACATCCACAGTGCTGCGTGAGCAACAAAAATGGCTACAGCTGTTGGGCAAGGTCATCTGACAGCGATTGTGTTTGATGCCTACTATAATGGTGACAGCTACTCTACATTGTAGAAGAAAAAACAGGGAACATCACACAGTAGTTACATGAAAGGTCTGGTAATCCAAAAGGTCTGGATGAATAGTTCAGAGAATGCAAGTTTAAATTATGACCACTTGAGAATGTTTTGAGACCATTTTGAAACTAGAAAGTTCATAATGACTGTGAAACTGTCCCTTTCGTGAAAGGAGCCTGTCATCTTCCTGTCTGGGCTGTATGTAACTCCAGTCCGAAGTCAATGTCATTGCTTTATTCATGAAATTTGTACAGCACATTTTACAAACCATCTTCCACTTAGAAGTTATGGAATTGAAAATTCAACTTATTTCCATACACAATGTTGCATTCTTGGGTTCCTCAATGTGGATGTCTTAATGTTTAGACCATACATTCTATGTAAAGCATAGAGACCAAGGACAAAACATTTCATGTTGAAAATGTCAAAGGGCAAGAGAAATAAACTTTTCTCGCTACTCCTCTCTGAGGTGCCCCATTACAATGTCCATCGTCTACATTCCTTTTCAGGAACACAGCCAAGGTGTCTTTTGGTGTACCACTGCTGTTAGGCCAGAAACAGCATCTTTGCCCTAGTGTGCACCTCTGTGGAGCTGCTTCTAGCTTCAGTACATCCCTTAGCATGTAATCCGGTACATTTCCACATACCAGTTTGCAACACTCAGTT